AAAAAAGATTATAAATACAAATATTTGATAATTTATATATAAAAGTAATTGTGCTAGATAAAATTTACTTATTTCCATAATATAAAAACGGTTTGCTTTCACATGAGAGAATTTTTTTGACATTGAAAACTTTAAACAAAGTTTTATTGGAAGAAAAGTTTTCGAATTTCACAGGAAAAAAACTGAGCATTAGAGAAAGCAAAATGGCAGGAACAACTTGGAGATAAAAACGTAAACACAATATTTTAGACTCAATTTTTAAAAAATTTTGTCTGTGAACAATTAAGGAATAAAACTTGCTGATTTTGGAATAAAAACTGAAAAAATAAAAAGTAGAGAGTAGTTTTATAAAGTAAATAAAAGCTTTTTTGAAACACACTTTCTAATATAGATTTATTAATCTCAAAAAAGTTCACTTATCAGAATGGAATGGATTTTTTATCATAACTAGATATATAAAAATGGTACAAAAATACTTACTACCACTAAAAGATACTTTATTGACAATTATTTTTACCCAAACTCAAAGTTTTGGGGGTAATCATTTTTTGAATTTATAGAATGCATTTGATGCACCGCAATATTTTTAGGAATTTTTACTTCTGATTAACACTTGGGGGTCAGATGTCATGTGTCTTACTTATAGCAATTAAAAATTCTTTTTCGTTAAAAATAGCAAAACAAATATTTTATTTACTTCTTTATAGAGAAAATGGTTATTTGCATGCAAAGAAAAACTTTCAATTTTATTTCTGCCATTTCTCTCAAAGTGCGTTTCAATCATTTTTGAAGAATCATTGGGCTGAAACTTGTTGCAGTGAATCAAAGCTGAATAATTTTTTCACACAATCACTTGTAACCTCTGACCTTAAATATGCTCAAAATTCAAATATGAGGATAACTATCACCTCCAGTGATTGTGTTAAAACAACATTGCCTGTTGTCTTTTATCATCACCAAAATTTATGAAAACCAAAAATAAAAATAAGTGATGCTTACTTCTGCGCTAAAATATTTCGTTTTTATAAATAGTGGCTCTGTTACACATATTGAAATTACGATAACATTCAAAAATAGGTCATTAAGGCAAATAAAAATAAATCGATAAGTATAAATTTAAGGCATTTACCGGGATCGTTAAATGAAAAATAATTTACCAAATTTGTGGTACTGATTGATAATTGATACGTGACATGGTGAATCGGAATTAATCGTGCATTCAAGTCTTATAGTTTTATTGTTGGTTTTCTGTTGTTGAAATAAAAATTTATTTTTCTCAGAAATTTTGTTCGCATTAAATTAATAAATCAATACTGCAATGAGCTTTGAGTTCACGTGAAATTTCTCTTCAAATGACAAAATAACTGCGCGAGAAATTGAGAGTTCTTAATTGCCTTTAACCCAAGTTTACGTTAATTAAGCAAATTTATGTTAATTAAGACAAGAATACATGAGGTTTTATGATCATGCGCAGAAAATACGACAAAATGTAATGAATTTTGGTAAGGAAATAGAAAAAAGTAAAAGTGTTTGGCAAGCGGTTAGTGTTGGAATGAACGAAAGGTCAAAGGAAGTCAGAACCATCTTTATGTCCGATCACCTCAAATAGTCTTATTATTGTGACATCTTCAAATTGCATCTCACTCTTCACAGACTGATAGATAGTAAAGTGCTTGTGCGCGATAACATTGCATTTTGACTTTATAACTTCTGTCTTTACATTCATATTCATAGACGACTTAATTATATCGGGACTACTAAATTATTGACATGTAAATAAAATGTCTGCTATTCTTAGGAAAAAAAACGTTTTTCTGATTGATTTCTAATTAATTGTAAAGTATAAAAGTAAATTATTAAATATCCTTCATCATTCTTACAATAAATATTTGCAATTAAAAGCTGAATACCGAAATAGCTTAATTACATGATAGCAAAAAAACACGTAAAGGATTTATTATTTATTTTCGAAAAAATTTAAAATTATACTAAAATAAGTACGAAATATTTTTCCACTTTCCAGTTAATTATGGCACAATAGTATCATATATTATCGTAAAATAGTATCATATATTATCGTAAATATATCAAAACATAGAAAATATTTCAGTTCAACGTATAAACGTTACATTCGATTACTTGAATGAAATGATGAATGATAGTTTGATTGTTCCATTGGAACAGCAGTGATTTATTGAACATCTACATAAATGATTAGTTAAATTTCTGACTTTAGCGTGAAAAGAAAATCGTGCAAGCTTAAGGCTCAAGCACATTTCCATTAAATTAATAAAGCAAAAAATAAAATCTTTCTAGCTTTTTTTACTCAAGTAAGCAATCACTCAAAGCTGCTTTTAATATTTAATCTGATAAAAGTTTTATCCATAACAAGATTGATATTGTGAACATACAAAAATGTTGTTCCAATACAGTTTGATAAGTTAAAAAAAAATTAAACTTCTTTGACTTCGTCCATTTTTTTAGGCTACAATTTTAATATTATTTAATATCATTCATTTCAAGGCCTTTAGTACTTTTAATATTTTATACATAAATAAACATTCAATGACAACAGATGTAATATATTAATTCAACAGTGGAAGAATCAGAAAGATTCTAGTTTTTTCTAATGTAACTTATTGAACTGTGAAGAAATTTAATTGCTTGCTGAAAGTTTTATTATATTGTGACAGAAAAAGTATGAATAATTTATTTGCTGAAAAACTAAAAAGAGATAGAGAAGTGCTAGTTTTTGCGTTGTTTTCTCGCAATTACTCCTAGCAATGCAAGGTAAAATGTAAACTTTGTTTTTGGACTGACAGACATTCTTCCTCGACTGCATTTGTAATTGCATAGCACTTTTTGAATTGAATCGCTTGCCATAAACTGATTAATTACGCACTTTTTCAATCAAACGATTAAGAATAAGCAATGTTTGTTGCGGTGACTAACATTTAACATTTGATCGCACGAAAAATCAGCCGCAAAAAAAATTGTTAGAATGCGTCGTTTCATATTTGCAGATAAAAATACAAAATACCAATTTTAAATATTTTGCGTTAAAATAACTTTGATGAGTTTCGATGTCTTTCTTAAAATTAAAAGTTTTGAACAATTTAATTATGACAGACCAATGAAAATTTATGACAGACCGATGAATCGTAGATGACAGTAAAGATAAGAAATTTTTACGTGAGTCATATCCAAAGTGTTCTGTGGTAGCAAAAATTTCTTGGCATATATTTGTGACTTGTGATTTCTTCAATAAAACAAGCTAATTTTTGACTGTGTTGAACTCGTATAATATGGGTTATCAGCCACTCAGATATTTTACCTTGCACAATAGTGAGCTAATATATGATATGACCATAGCAAAAAGTATTTTAATATATTATATAATTTAAGCTACTTCAAGTAGTGCTCTCGTGCTGCTTCTCGAGAAGTGAATCACTAAAGCAAAAAACGATCAATAAGTGACAAACAAATACATTCAAGCAAAGACAAACTGTTAGGAGAAAATGATATTTATATTACTTTCAAGGCATCTCTTAAACAATATTCGATTGCATGTAAATTAGCTTAATATACCGGACAATGACCAATTTTTGCTTACAAATTTGCAACTAAATTATTTCCATATCCCTTTCTAATTATTCATGAATACTGTATAATTATTCGCATGAATATTTTATGATTATTATCTTTAAAATACCATGTTATTATTATTATTATTATTTAATTGTTTGCTGAAAAAAATCATTCTGTTCCATTACCATCTGATATAAGTGTTAAATTGATAACTTTATGTGTATTATTTAATGGATTAAATAGCTGCGCTTGAAACCTCTAAATTCAAGAATTAAAAATTTGTGACAAAAAGTTGATAATATTTTATCCATTAAAATACTGATCAGCAAGACTTTTTGAATTTAAAAAGATCAGTTATTTATTTTTGCTATCAAATTGTTTTTCACTTTTTATCTATTATTCTGAGTATTACTATAGTGTTTGCTTAATCATTCTGCTCTTTTAATATTTGATATAAGTGTTAAACTGATGACTGTTTGCATTTCGAATGAAAAAATGACTTAAAATTAAAATGGAATATGACGTGAAAAGCTAATGTTAGTTATGGTATAATTGTTCATGCAATTATTATTTTTTATGAAATGATTGTTATCACTTGAAGTATTATCAGAAAGGAATAGAAATGCGAATGGCTTGCCTTTTCGAGCACAAACTGAAAATTCTTCTCTAAAAGATAAGATGGAGGCAAATTTTGATGCAGAAATTTGCGTTCTTCTACTTGCATGCTTGTATAGTTTTGTTCATTTTTAATCAATTTTAATAATCTCAACAAAAATCAAATTTGATCTGCTCTAAAATCAATTCATTCTGATGAAAAACTATTTTCTATTTTGATTTGAAGCGATTGTTGCATTTTTAATTAAATCAAATATTTTTTGATAGCTTTATCAGATATTGACAAATGCCATATTTTTTAATTCAATTTAATACATATTTAAGGTCAATTTTTTTAGGAGCAATAATTAATAAATTACTTTTTTAATGAAACTGCATGAATTACCAATATTGTTTTAAATTAATCGATATGAAAGAATCTATTTTTTACTACTATCATATCGGAGTACGATAATTTTCATTGATAACTTTTAGAATTAGCTTTCACAATTTTATTACATAATTAAGCTTTTTTCACGCTATCAATTTCGATTGAGCTCTAAAGCTACTTGCGCAGTTGTTTACTTCATTTTCACTTATTTTCAGAATTCTGAGTTTTGTTTATCAGAAGTCTAATAGTGAATGATGAAAAGAACAAAAGAAACAAACAATTCAAAATTAAAAAATTTCGAAAACTTTTGAATGATAAGAAATTGATAAGCTTTTGTAGAAACATTTTAACTTGTATTTCTTTTCTATCTGAAGTTGAAATGTAGCACACTTTCAGGTGTTCATAACTGGATGGGAAAAGTTAATAAATGAGTAGGCGAAAAAAAAGCAACGAAGAAAGTCAGATTACTCTTTGCCGTAAAATGAGTGGAAGAGAAGATTCTTACTCATTTGGTGAATACAGAATTGGAAAAGTTAGTTTGCTTAATTTGTATTCATAATGTCAATCTGGCGATAAAAAGCTTTGTCCTTTTCTGAAAAGCTTAAGCAGCTTGTTCATAAAAGTTTTCCAAGTTACTATATTTCAAAAATTCTTTTAAAGATTTTTCAAAGATTATTTTAAGGATCGTCGACAATTTATAATTGTGACGGTATTCGATGTATGTCTTACAACATTGCTCTGGACTATTTCCACAGTAAGTAACTCTAAAAATTAAGCATACGTTAGGAATTCAAACAATTATATTAATAATTTATATTTTTGACTAAAGAGATAGATTTATAGAATCAATATTGAGATAACAGCAATTTTGCCAATTAAATTTATTTCAAATAAGCTATAAACTGCATTACTGAGATATTATTTTTACACTGAAATATCGAGAATTCAGATGGATACCTCAAGATAAGTAAGTTGCTTTTGTAGGTAAGTAAGGATGATGATTGGCCTGTGGTATTCCATCGTGAAGTTGACTTTCTTCAACCTGACTTCATGAAACTTTCTTTGTTTGATGTTGTTGCAAGTTTTTCTCTACTTTCTGATATTTACTTTTATAGTTTGCAAGTTTTTGTGATTATATTTGAAACAAGACGATAAATAAGTCTGCTATTACGTTACTACTATATATTTTATTCGCAACTTCATTGAATAATTTCCTCCTCCGTCACTTTATGAGTAGCTTCAAGAATTCAAAAACTAAAATCGTTTGCTTTATTTCATTCAGAATTAATATTCAGGTGACAGCAATTCTTCGTATGTTTGTGCTTATATTTTTTTATGCCATCTTACTAACTAAACATTGGATTCCAGTTGCTTTTACAACTGTCACAACGACACTTTTCCTTGTTGCTAAGGTTTCGCTTTCATTTTCTTAAAATACCACTAATGCAATTAAATTTACAATCCGTTTAGTACTAAATACTATAATGAAATCCATTCTCATTAATAACAGCGCAAAATCAGTGGATATCAAGTATTTCAATTGTACATTTCAGCACAGGTAAATAAAATTCAGTAAATAAAAGAAAAAATTGAAAAGGTATTTAAAATTGAAGAATGAAACTTGCTGGGATAACAACATCTAAGTTGTATGCTTGTTTCTGCCAAAACTAAATACTATTCGCATACAAAATTTTGCTGAATTTCTGATGGAAATTATTATATTTTTTTCCTTATTAGACTTACATAAACTAATTCTGAGAATCGAAAAAGATATTAATGATTTTATGTTGACTGATCAAATTTTTACTGCTATTTTAAGATTAAATATAAAAACCTTTTAGGCATTGTTCTTTTTCTCACCTGTACAAGGTAATTTGCCTCAGTACATGGTATTGGTTTCGTCATTTGTGGTTGCTTGGTTTCAACTCTGGCTCGTACCATTTCATATTTTACCTCGAGAACGTCGTTATATGATAATGCCAGAATGCAATACTTGTTCAGATGCACCGAGGCGCAGTGAACACACTGATGAGGAATTCCGTTCAGCCATGGAATATTCCTCAGGTTTATATTTTCTATTTAATTATATTATTTAATTTTATATTCCTGAATTATTTCTGTGATATTTTAAGTCTTTTATCAAAATTCATTCATTCATTTCGATTTCATTCATCTAACATATTGTCACATTTGATGGAAAAGTTCCTAAAATACCAGTTGAAATGTTATTGCATTCTTAATTTAAGAAGTTATTTAATATTAATATGCGTAAAGAACAATACGACATAATTTATTAATCAGTAAGTGGTAATAAAATCATTTAATTTTTTTATTAAATATAAGACTTTTTGTTGTTTTTTTGTCTTTTTACTTTTAACATTTGTTTTGACAATTGTATTGTTTTTGGGGGGCAATTTTGTACACAAAACAAAAAATTTTACATAAAAATTATCAGCGCATCTTTTCGTAGATTCTGATGAAGGCAACTTGCCTGCAACATTAATCAGAGGAAAAGTCTATTCAAAAACGCAGTATTTCGAAGAAATAAAAAGAGCAGAAGTTAGAGCTAAGCATTTGCTGGCAGAAAGCAATTCCTGGAAGGTTTTACTTAGGTATTGTTCATTATTTGAAAATTATACATTTTAAATTTCCTCCCAAAAATTGTGCGTTCATTTTTTTATATTTTTAGACTATTTTATTTCATTTTTCGCATTTAAATCAGGTCTCAGTGAATCATTTAAAAATTTTTGTAATTATGTAAAAAAACTTGAAGTTTGTTTCATATTGGTAAAAATAAAAATTGCTCTTAAAGATGTTTGAACTAAAAACTTACTATATTTATAAAAATTATTTTTAATTAAAAATGGCATCTCTTAATTCAAACTGCTGACATCTGTTTGCCAGAGATTCTCAGTCATAAATTATTAAAATTAGAACTATCTTAATCAATTACTTTAAGCTCAAAGCAGTTTATTTCGACTTGTATTTGAATAAAATCATATAAATGTTGATTGGAATAAAATCATTGATAATCCTTTGCTGCAAGAATTTTGCAAATTTAGTCTAATATGAGGTATTGAAATGAAATTATATTTGGAAGGGTTTATTTGAAAAAATAAAAGTAGTCATTATTTTTGGTTACAGGAATAGTCCAGAAGTTCGAATATCAAAAGAAGGGCAAATTTACTACATGAAAGATGAACTGCCATGCTCACCAAGTTTTCTTTTCAAAGCTGTCTGGAATGACAATAAATTATGGAATAAACAAATCAGTGAAATCAAAGTAATGGTTTTTGGAAAAAAAATTATTTTGTGGGATTAAAACGGATTAAAACAAATCAAAAGTGATTTGTCATGATTTCCCAGTTTAATAAACTAATTCGTTTTGTTGTTTTGGTGAAATTGAAAATAGATAAAAAAATTAGACTTTATCAACGCTTTGTAACAAAGCTGTAATTTGTTTCAGGTGATACTCAATATCGATGCAAATACAGATTTGGTATACAGTGCCACAAATCCATGTTTAGGAGGTTATATAGCAGCAAGGTTGAGTTGTTATTTTATTTTCAGCTAATCAATTTGTATATTTTTTTGTCAAAATTCTGAAAGTACTTTACAGTATATTATTTCCTGTAATCGATAATTTTGCATTATTCATTGATCAGTTTGGTGGAATTAATTAAGTTTACAGTTAATTGAAAATGCAGTTGTTAACCCGTAATCAGTTATTATTAATCTTGTATGTGAATTAAGTAGACGCTGATTGATTAGTTGATGTGAGTTTTTGTCAAGATGCGCAATATCTGTTTTCATTAAGATTACATTCTTCAAAATGTACAGAATTAATTGCGTGATTGGCGGCTATAAAATCTGCAAATCACACACTACTTTTCCACTTTGAACTTTCGTGTGAACTTTCTTGAAAGTCACATATAAATATAATTTTTCGGTATAGTTTGAACTTCAAAAATTGATTTTTTGATATTGCATTCTTGTTCTGTTGATTTTGCAAATGACCTCTTGTCAGTAATTAGTTATAAATGTTTTACCAAAGAATGAGTAAACTGCGATCAAAAGGCGCCACCATCACTATTTATGCTATTTACTAGGCAACTATAATTAATTCTAATTTAGAGACTTTTTGGATGTTCGGAGAGCTCAAATTGACAGTGAAAAAAATTTATACGAGGGATTTTATGTCTCTGTTGACTCTTCTATCTTGCCAAGAAATGGAAGCCAAAAAATAGTTCGTGGTGTTAATGGAGCAAACTACATTCGCGTAACATGTAGTTTGACTGATTCTAAAATGTCACAAATTGAATGGATTCAAGAAAGTGACTTGAAGGTTAGCATTAATAACTTCTAGAACTTATAGATTAGAAGGCATAAAATTGAAAATCACTTTTCGACGGATCTTCAATTATCATTACTATATATCAACATCAGTTTAGTAATGTGAAAATTTTTCAGCATACATTTCCTAGTCTTTTGAAATGAAAAATTGCTCATGCTTTTTATTACGTATGAATTCATCCTTTGTTAATACTAGCATTATTATTGTGTAAGTAAGTGTTCTCGAAATTTTTTGTCTCTCAAATTAAATTGAAAACATTTACAGTTCTTATTTGTTTTAAAAATTTGAGCATCAAAAAGGTGTTAATTGTGAGTTTCAGTGTACTCTTCCGAGGCGGATAATGGAAACTTCTATGCGTACATTCTTCCGAAATTATATGGAAAACTTAAAAGCGTTTCTCAGAAAAGAATAAACTGCATATCCATAGCTATCTAAAGTCTTGTCCTTATTTTGACGATAGATTTCAATTGCAAGTGAAATTGAAAAATCGTGCTAAAATGATAGTATTAAATGAATGGTAACGGCGATCTGCAGGTTATAAATAAAAACGAAAGAATCAGTAAAATTGGATAAATTGCAGCTACAGACTGAATAACTTCTAAGTTCTAATACGGGTGTTTTTCTGTTTCATTTTTATATAAACTTAGCCAAGTAAATTGCTTCTTTTAGATATTTATAATTGTTTTGTTTTTCGTTTTATACCTTGCCAATTTAATTTTTGTTGCTGTTGAAATATATTTATTACAAGCACAAGCAAGTAAGTAATCACTGATTTACTTTGTCTTTATTGTTTTCTAAATCGCGTAGCGAAAAATAAAACGATATTTGAAACGATCCTTCAGAACGATTTCAAACATACGATGAATTGAACGGAGTTCAGTGACTCTCTAATTTTAGAGTCATTGAATCTCTAAAATCACTTCAACGATAAGCATTGATAATTTATTGATAGGCACTGAAAAACTGAAGCATTTATATTTCTCAACTCTGAATTATTGTCCTATTATACTAAACATTTCACCAGAAAAAATACAAAACAGAAGTGCTGTTAATTTGTACAGCAAAAATCAAGCAGTCAACGAATAACATTAATTATTAACAAATTAAGCAAATAAGTTGACTCCATCAATCGATTCCACTTAATTCTTAATTTTATAACAACAATTCTTCTGAAGAATTCACTGCACCTTAGATATGAGGTAAAGTCATTTTTATCCCAAAATATTAATATACATTCCATTTTGATAGTATATGCTAATTAAAAAGTATAAAAACGTACGGTTTTATACTGAAATTTACTTTCTTAGTTTTGCGTGAAAATTGGTAACCATTTATAGGAACCATTTATATGTGAAATTTTACTATTTTATATAAAATTAATTTAATTAATCAACAGTTGTACAATAATTCATTAAAATACAAGTAGATTCTTGTAAAATATCATTCAAACTATTGATGGAAAAGCATGTGAAAATGCTTTGCATAAATTTATGAAAATCTTTAAAATGAGAATCGAGAATATGAAATCTTTAAATACTTACTGACTTACACATCTGTTAAATAAGGAAAACACGTATCAAAATACACATAAATTAAAAAAATGAATACATATACTTACATAAAAGCAAAAAAATAAAACAAAACAAAAACATTTGTGGTCGACGTCAAAATTTAAAATTAGTATTGAGCAGTGAAACGAGTAGAATACGTCCTCATATCTTGCGGGACCCTCCAATCTGCCCTACAAGCAGGATCCTTGAGCATGAAAGGTGGAATTCTCTTCCTGCAATAGTTTGCAGTAGACTAACGTAACTTTTCTCTAATAATGCTCAAAATTTCAAATTTCAGAACATGAAGTAAATACTGAAAATATTTAACTATAAATAATAAAGTGTTTACTTTTTATTTCGAAAGCATACAGCGATAATAACAATTATCAGAACAGCCCATAAAGCGCACAAAGCTACTGGGATTAGAACAACCCAAGCTGAAATATTAATTCAATTTCCAATGTTTTTGAAAATATTGTAAAAAAATAATTATTCAAAACTATAGTTTTGCGTTTTCATTAAAATTATATAAATCGCAAAGTATTTTCATAATTCAAAATTACATTTATTTCACTTATAAGTCAAAAGAAGCATTTTTCTCTTTCAGAATTGATTTTGGTTTTGCCATTAGAATACTACCGCAGCTACAATTCAAATGAGCTATTGTTTCAAGAAAATTTAAAGTTAAAAAAGTCTTTCAAAATAGCTAGAGAACTAACTGCTACTGTTATCTGCTTCTTCCATCGTCTTACCACCAACGTAAAGTTCATTTTCCGCGTCATTATAATCCTTAGCAAGTGGTGGAATAGTCGTTGTAACTGTTTTTTTCGTATTTTTTTCTTTCGAATATTTTGGTCGAACTGATCCAACACTTGCCTGTTAACACTTTCATGATTTCATTTCAAAAGTAGTTGAAAATATGATAGGATCATATTTTGATTAGACCTTTTAATTCAGAAAATGTTTATCAAAATTAAAGTTCAAGTAATAAAATTTTAGTACATGATTGTCTTGTAAACTGCTTTTTATTTGCATTTTAAAGAATGTTTTATAAGAGAGAATAATTCAGAAGCATTTTTGAAATACTAAGATAGTAAATTTCATTTTTAAAATACTAAAATAGTAAATTTATTTGAAATACTAAAATAGTAAATTTTATTTAAATTGATCGAAGGTTCAAAATTCGAGTCCTTTACTTCTTCATTAATCCAATTATGCATCAAGAACGGCATCTCATCTATGCCATCATCAAGCTCAACACTCTTTGGTATTCCAATTGGTATATCCGTGACTGCATTATCCAAAATTGGTGTTTTTGGTTCTTCTGTAACTTAATTTTCATTTCTTGTCTTAGTGCAATGAATTAGTTGGATAGACTTAATCAAGCAATTTACACTTTTTAACGAGCACTAAAACTTTATAACAAATTGTTATGTTATAAAATTAAATGCAAAAAAATTTTTCCATCTATAAAATTTCAATGCTTAGTATCAAATTGAAAACGATTTTCAGTTATCAAGAATTAATAAACTAGCCTATTGGAGCATTTGTTCTGAGACAGTTTAGGCCATCTCCATGATAGCCTTCGTTGCAAATGCATTCTGGTCCATCAGAAGAAGTCTCATCGCAAACAGCATTTATAGAGCACTTTTCTTTGTATTTCAAATAACAAGCATCCACTTCTGAAACAAAGTCTGTCATTATAGTTGTTCAAATAACTGTTTTCATTCTTGTACTTCCAATGCAAACAATATTCACAGTTTCTCTATCTGTAATTTACGCATCAAACAGTTCAATGCTCGCTAACAGTACGACTACAATCACTTCATTTTATTTCTTTTTCTACTACTCTGTACACTACATAGATACATCCAACTTATACACCCTCACATTCAAGTCTTCAGCTCTCACACCCACTCGTCACCAATATCATATTGCGTCATTATTTTTAACAGCAATTTTGTAGTAATTATTTCTACATCATAAATTTTCTACGTCATATTCCACAGCAAATGATTGCATGCCAAATGACAGCATAAATTAGTGCCAATATTTAAATCCTGCAATGCTTTTTTCATAACTATTAATAAAAAATATGGTTCTTTCGGATAAATATTACTTACGTTTACACGTGAAGCCATCACCCAGGAAAAAGTCATTGCATTTACAGCGATACGCTCCTATTTCATTGATACATGTCGCTTTGGAAGAGCAGTTGTGCCTTTCAGTGATACATTCATTCACATCTACAATTGCAGTTTTCAAATCATACAAGTAACAAAAAAGTGTAGCACTACTATACGCGAACGATTACAAAGTTAAGAAGCTGAATTCAATGTACTAATCATAAAATAATTTTTGATTCCTTCAAAAGCTTTAATGTAATTAATACAACTATATTAAGTAATTGTAAAAATCCTGTAAGAGCTTTTCTGTGATTTCTGTAGTTGCTGCTTGTTAAATTTTCCAAACTGGTTTTATTTTTGAAAAAAATTATTATTGTTTTTTATAATTTCTGTATATTAAATTCAATTATTAAATCTTTCACTCCATTAAATCGATTTCGCAGGGTTATTTATGCGATGAAGGAGCCAAGTTAAGCGTTTAGCGAAATTCTCTAAAGAAATCTCTCAAATGCCGCAGTTCTTATCACTGAACCTTCTTTTCCTCAAAACCTGACCAGAGAAATTTTAAGCAAAACTAAAAAGCCAACCTTCGAAGCAGTTGACACCCATCCATCCTTCTGCGCACTGTGCATTTGAGCAAAATCCTGTTGCAAAATCACATGGTATATCATTACGACAGTGACATTTATTTTCACATCGAAAACCCCACATGCCCGCATCGCATTCTAAAGTTCATAACCCATTTTTGAAAACTGTCACACTTTTGACACATATTTTCATCTCAAGTGCAGAGCTTTCTTTAAAATATGTTCATACCTCCGTTAAATATTTTTGAAAGAACTGTTGTATACGCATCTTAACTTCTACGACTTAATTATTTCAATTATGTATATAATTAACTAAAAATAATATTATTAAGTAGGAAAGGAATGATGTCGGTGAGAAAAAAATTATTTATATCACAAACTTCATATAGCGCTTAAAATATTTACTTATCAGTGCTCCCATATTCAGACAATCTTTTGATAACAATTCATTTGGATATGATAAGCACCGTAATTATGAATATAACTATCCACTGCTAACTATGAATATCTTACTAACGTAGCAGTGAATTCAGTGAATTTCTTCATCCATTAACTATTTTATTTCGTAAATTTGTAGTAAAGAAATCATATATTGAATAACTCCTGATTAAATGTAAATAAAGCCAGTAGGAATTGATAATTACGTCAAACTTGTATGGTTACCTTAGAAAATTACTTAATATTCAAAATTGATTTGAATTTTTTGAAGAAAATTTGTAGTAAAGAAATCATATAGGCAGACAAACCTCTTTGGCACAATGGTGGATCAACAGTACCAGCAGGGCAATGCAGCGGTAGAAATCCATCAACTCGGAATAACCACTTACCACGCTCACCAATATTTGAATGATTAGCAAGCATCTCGAAAGGTAATTCAAAGAATTCAATTCCGGATGAAAAACCGCTCAGACCGCTTTCAGATTCAATTTGTTCAAACAAATACATTGCAAAAGTAGCATTATCATCTTGTGCTATCACTACTTGGAAAGTATTTTCCTACAAATTATCATCACTTAACATCATAACTTCCATCCATTTCTGAATACATTCACCATATTCCATTCCATGTCTTCTTTTGTATCAATATCTTTTGAAAAACATTGTAATGCTACACTTTCTTGATGTCATTGGAATGTATTTTATAAATCAAGCATTAATAACTGTTTTTTAATTATTAATATATCCAATAAGAACCAACAAAAATAATAGAAACTAATACTTTTAGTATGGTGATATAAGAATAATAGCAACTCTTGGTCTTAATTAAATGAATCTATGCTTGAACCTCCTTTACCGCAAATTTTTATAAGTCCTGAGGTACACTTTTTATAGAGTAAATAATAAGAGTTTTAAGCACCTAAACATCTGACCAATATGTGTATAATTAAGTAATAATTAAATTTTAGGATTCAAGACTAGCATGGGATAAGCAAGATATACCTGCATGGTGTCAACTTGCATCATTCGGTCGTATGAAACGATTATTAATGAATGAGCACGGAAATCTTTCTGATGAAATTTGTTATGTATACTCAGTGATATTCGAGCCAGTAAAGTATAATCACTTGTGTCACTATCTGAAGTATTTTATTGGAAGAGACTATTCTGCACTCACTGAAATCATTGAAACTCATTGCGATTCGATTTAAAAAAATGTAGTCATGATTTTGATAACATTTACATAGCTATACAAAAGGAAATAAAAAAATCATAGAAAGATCATAAATAGATCAAATTGGGCAGATCCAGTGGATTCCTTGTTCATTTGATGAGAAAAACTCTTTAATATTTAAGCTACGCTTAAAATAAAACTGTTTTAAGGGGTTAATAAAAGATTTTTAGCTGTTGACAAATTATATTATGTCATCCGAATTTTGAATGAAAACTTTATCAACTACAGAAATGCAAAGATGAAATCAAATAGTTACTGGGAATAGATTATTGAATTAAAATTATAGTTCTCTACAACTACTAAGAGAATAATCAGTACATTGTCAAATAATATGTAAAACGAAATGTGATTTTGTTACATGAAGAGCTCAATTTAAGATCAAGTTGACACTGTTGTCAAAAATTTCAGGACGTAAAAAATTTTTTTGTCACTTGACTTATCATTCAAACAAATTTTTTATTTTTGGTGAAAATAACAACTATAAGAAATCAAACTAACCATGGATAACTTTGAGAATGACTTTTGAATTATCTTGAAATGTATAGTGTTGATAAAGTGGAAGAAACGCTGGAAAACGTATATTTCCGTCAAGTTTCATTGGCAGTGGCTCACCGAAACTTATTCCGCCATTTGATGAAATCTAAGTTTCATTAACTTGCATTTTCATTAAAATACTTTTTTCAAGGTTCTGATTTCTTAGTGATAATATTTAGATTTGGTTACGTATCAGTTTGAGATTTTAAAATATATTTGTGTATTAAGTTGCAGTCTACATTCTCTAAAAAGTTTCAAGCAAATCAATTCTTTTTTTCAAGCAAAAATTTAAAAATTTAGTATGAAAAACAAAAATTAAACGGCATACGTAAAGTATACGATAATTTCGACCGAAAAGTCGAATAGTTGCACTGAGAGGATAGTCAGCAACGGCATTTTGTCGTGGAGTGATTTCAAGAGTTGGGTTTTCCACTGAGAACAATATAGTTTCTGTAAAATTTATTGTTTGATAGTAAAAATTGCTTGCAAATTAGCAATAAGCTGTAAATTTGGATCTTTAATTATGACAATTTTGATTTTTGAACAAATAATACTTTGCAAATAGACAAAAATTATTTGTAATTATTTGCCTTTTATCCTAAAATTATTTCCAGTCAATTCTTTTAGTAAAATTATCTTTAGCAGTTTAAAAGCTCAAGCATAGTCGGTAAAAATAGATTTGGTATTTGCAGATGAATTCAAAAAAAGATATATATGAAAGTAACCGTGACATTCAACTCCATTACCAACGAATCCATCCAAACAAGCACATCGGAAAGATCCATGCAAGTTGGTGCAAACTGCTGCTTTATCGCATGGATCATATCTGTAGATATTTTAAGACTTCTCTGCTTTTTATTCATTTCTTTCACCTATGATGAGTATGTTATGCTCTAATTTTCAAAAATATTAGAAGTATTTTGCATTTAATTTACTTTGCATTTCAAATCAAACCCATCATCATTTAGCTGTAATTCTGACTTAAATAAAATTGGAGTTAGTTTACTCACTTGCATTCGTCAATATCAACACATTGCCCTGTGTACTGATCACGTTGAAAGCCTTCTGCACATTCGCATTCATAACTACCGATCAAATTTTTACAAACACCTTTTTCACCGCAGTAAAAGTCTGATAATTGGCATTCATCTACGTCTAAATTTTAAAATTTATTTATCTTTTTATATATAGAAAATCTTGAGCTATATTCGCATTTTTAAGCTTTTATAACAATCCAAGTTTCAAATTTAAGAAGACTGTTTATCACTCTTAAATTAGCCTACCTACACAGCCATGTGAACTGCCAGGATTACCAGCATAACCAGGTGCACAACGACATTCATATCCACCATCAGTATTGACGCAAATCGAACTATTCTTCCCACCGCCACAAACTATTATTCCCTCTGAGCATTCATCCATATCTACAAAAATTATCAAGACAAAAAAAATTTAGGGAGGAAAATATGAAAAGCTTGTTGAAATATACAAATGCAAATCGGATAATAAAAGTGAGCCATAATTGCTTTCATCTAAAGATATCTCTAATTCCATCAAATGCCTTGATTCACTAATGTTTTGAGTAATGTCTAATGCATGAATTACTTTAACGTAAATGAAATATATGGACACATTAATTTCAAAAATAAAATTAAAAAAAAATTATATTGAATGCCGATACTTTCATATTTTAACTTACATTTACAGTAAAGTTAGTATTATATTTAAAAAGCTAAAATTATATGAATTTTTTTGAAAATTTTCACGTATAGTAAAGTCAATTTTTACTGAAAAAAAGTTACCTATACATTTTCCATTATTATCAAATATATATCCGATATTACACTGGCATGTATATGAGCCTGGAGTATTTTCGCATATTGCATGTGCCCCACAAACACTTGGCTCCCCGAAGCATTCATTAATATCCATGCAAGATTTCCCATCACCTGCCCAGCCAGATTTACACTGACATAATCCGCCAACACATATAGCATTTTCATCGCAACGACATGTAGTTGAAACAATACTCAAAACTGGCTGCAGCAGTTTGCATAAGTATTTAAAAGTGACCAGCGAAAGATGAAAATATTGATATCAATAAAGTATAGACAGGCGAACAATGCTAAATATCAAGCCAACTTTTGCTTCATCTAGCTAATCTTTCGTTTGTGTTGAACTAATACATCTATGTTTTTATTAACTTGAATCACGCATTTTAAATTTGGAAAAACTTTTACAGTCTTCTACCCAATCAATGCAAAAGGAAGAATTGCTCATTGTGTCTCATTAAGATCAATTTTTTCAGTATATAAATTTAACAAAACTGCCAGAATTACAACACTGACAATATTTTCATTCTAAACGAAATTTTCCAATACGAGTTCACTAATCAAGGTCAAGCAGACAAATTCACAGTTTTGACAATTCATCCAGTTAGAGGAAATGCTGTTCATCACGACATTTCAATAAGGTATCTTCAAAGACTAAAATGAGTAACTTTTATTTAAGGAATTCGATCATGACATACCTTAATAGTAACAGGACTAAAGCGGACAGCTGCAGAATCGTTTAATGAACTAGAAGAATGTACAATGGCACCAGTACTTATTGCTGCTGCTATACTTTTCGAGCGTGAATTTGTCTTGACTGAATTTTTTACGCCTCGATAAGAAGGCATGTTCACTGTGGATGCTAGCACTGGTTGCAATGGTACTACCCGAACTGGTACAGCTTCGTTTTTGCCAGTTTTGAGAGGTAAAGTACCTTAATAAAACACCATTTGCACCTCTATATTTGAATACAAAGCAAATACTATATCACTGATAATCATATTTTCTTATAATTATCATGAAAATGAAATTGGTGATATTTTTCAAGTAAAATCTGTCTTAAATTTTACCTTTACATGTGTTAGTAGCGTTGTCATATTCATAACAAATGCATAAGTACGCCCCAGGAGTATTTACGCAATCCGGCTGCTCCCGAGGGCACAGATTAGCTTCTTCTGAGCATTCATCCACATCTATACAATTATGTCAGTAAGCAACAACTACGTCTAATAGTTATTGCTTAAGATTATGTCTTGAACTTTGCAGCACAACCATTTATCTCAGCTGAAAAGATCATAATTTTAAATAGCTCACAAACCATCTTCGCAAATCGGTGGTCCTGACCAACCAGAATTACATTTGCCACCTGGACATACTCCAGTTTCTAAATGGCACGAAACTCCAGCATCGCAATGACATTTTCTCGAACAGTCGAGACCCCATTCTGTCTTTGCGCAAGTTTCTGCGCATTCTTCTCCCTAAACATTTTTGAGAAAATTCTTGCTACAGAATTTTTTCTTTCAACTTTCAACTTTGATAAGAGCACGGCCTTCTCGTGAATAATCATATTTGTATTATGGTGCAATAAAATAATCCTTATCTAATATTCATCTAATATCACGTCACTACTAATTTATCTAATATTCATCTAATATCATCACGTCACTACTAATTTACGAGATGAAGTGCTTCCCAAATTATTACACAAAGAATCTGTTACAGCTTGTACCATAAGAGAATGACGTTAGTGATGATAAAATTTCAAAACTGAGCACATTTTATTGACAAAAGATTATTTTTTTCAAAATTTTCGCTCAAACAAATCATTTTTCCAAAATATTTGTAACAATTCCACGTTTTGAAATAAAATGCATGAAGTTTTGAAGGCGAACCTTGTATCCGGCTCCACACAAGTAAACTTGATCGAAATCGATTCTAAATAAAAATTCCCCCGGTATTCCAATATCACTTTTTTGAGCTAATTTTATTGCTTGTTCTGTTCCCGAGCCAGGTAATGAATAATGCGCATCAGAACTACTGAAACCTGCCTGAAATTACTAGCAGATAAAAGGATTCATGGTATGTATTTAAGTAATGATTGCCATAATAGAACTAAGCATTCTGATTTTCTATATAATATTTCTAATGTGAACAAGTCACCGAAATTGCTATTAAAGTAAATTTAATAGTTTAAATTACTTAATCGCTGAAAATCAAAATCCAAACAAAGTTTTGAATTGCTGAAAGCTGTATAAATTAATATTTTTCTTTTGAGTGAAGAAACACTTACTACAGCATTTTTATTGGTGTTCAATTTACTGTACACAATGTGCGCAAATGTTCCATTCTCACTCATAATGATAGCTGCTTGAAATGAATTACCTTCCGAATTCTAAAATTCTTGAAAAAATAAGTTTGCATCAACAGTTAAAAATATTTCAATTCCAAATTGTTCTCAATTTAACAATTAATTTTTTGTCGTAGCAAGAAATCGACGACATATTTTTTAAAGCAACTGAAGGTTGATTTTATTGCTTTAATTTCAAATGAATAATTAATAGTTAAAGCAGCTTTCAGAATTTGTGGTACTGTTTTGATCACAGTTGGATTTTAGATAATAGAAATAATATTTTTCAAGTAGTAGATATAATTCATAAATCATATATTCATTCACTAATTTTGTAGTATACTAAAATGTTTGAAATTTTGTTTGAAATTTGAAAATAATATATGTTACAAAATATTGTAAATTAAAAATTTCATTAAAAAGTGCTTACAGCTTCAGTAATGTCATGAGTATTTTGCCATGTAACGATAAGTACTGATCTTGGTATAAATGATGACCCATATCCATATTGGATATTTACCTCCTTCTGCGCCAAATTCAGTACTGATGAATCTGAAATGGATAAGCAAATTTTTGCACTTATACACATCTACTTTATAATTTAGTATACTTCCAATTTACATACTTGCTTTAATAATACTACATTTTGGTATGAGAAGCATTACCGTTTCTTCAAATTTCTCTTGATATTGTTTTTAAAATTTTCACTGAATTTAAATGTAATAAAAATTTACACAAAACAGCATAAAATTTTTGCTTTACAACTTGATTACTTAAGACACTAATTTTAGGACAAAAAGTGATTTCAGAGCCTCAGTATTTTTCTTTATTTCAGTAAAAAATTAGTGGTAAATGCATTCAAATTTACATAACAAATATTTTTTGCCATTCTCTAAGAAGTCTAAAAATTTTACGGTAGTTCCAAAGATAGACACAATTTTTCAAAAATAGTTATTTGTACTTACTTTTCAACACTTTTTTCATTATGAATTCAGTTTCAGAACTTTAACTCAAAATGATGTGGTAAATAATTTGGTGACTTCATAATATTTCAACAAAATTAATAAACCTCAAATTCGCTATTAGTTCCACAATAAAAAAAGGATAAATCATTTGTCAAATATTCTACAAAACAATTTTTAGGCTTTAATTAATTAATAATAATTATTATAGAATGAATCAGAGTAAAACATTAAGAATTATTAGTGCAATTAATGTTACACTGAAAATATTAAGTATGAAGAACAATCTTCATATCTCTTATTGCTTTTAAATCATGTTTTATTAATTTTATTTTAGTTCAGGATGAATGACCCAATTAATTAATTGAGAATATTCATTATATAAAGGCAAAAAAAATTATCATTATTAATAACTTCTTCACTAAGGCCTAATCAAACTTAAAACACTCAATTATTGCTTGCTATTACAAGTATTGAAAATTAAAAACCAGTTACCATTGGATTCCCGATAATATACTTTGCCACCAAGTGCGGGCATCCAATACACGGCAATTACAGGTTGAGCAGAAGGTAACTTTAATGGTTTTATAGGTACTGCGGACAAAGTAATCGCACCATCTCGACGAATCTGCAAAGTAAAAGATTTTTTTAATCATTCACCAATTAAATATTAATTCTAATTATTACTATATTAAACAATAAAGTATTTGACAATTATGATTTTTTTCAGCAATAATAATTATAGATGACCTCAGACAATAATTATTAATAATAATATCATGCAGTGTATTTTTGAAAAACAGGAAAATACAATCACAGCATTGTGTTTTTTAAACTGAAAAAAACCAAAGGATGCTGCAAGCAAACACTTTTCTGATTCATTAATGCACAATCTGACGTAGAGATTACGCTTGTGCTTGTTGCACTATTCATAAAAGATTTATTTGGAGCAAATTTCCTATTATTTTAGTTTGCTGCAAATTTAAACTCGTAGTTTGTAAAATTACTCTTAATCGTAATGCGTAATATTCTTAGCTACTTCGATCGATTAAAATGATACAGTTTCAGATTACCTTAAATTGGCTAAAATCATTTGAGTAAAAGACAGAAATGAAGTAAAGATAATTACATTGACAGCATCATATTCTTTGCCAAGAAACTTGAAAGATTTCTTGAGTTTGAAAACTTGCGTAGAACCCGTCATCAAGTGATCGCCCTTACCTTCACCAAACGGGTATAATCTAGCGCTGAATATGTACGGAACAGTAATGTTTAAATCAATCTGAGGTGTATTTGAGCTATCAAACTGCCTTTTGTATCGATAGTGGTCTAAAACTGATTCATTTGTAGACGTTTTATTTTGGTTGTGATTACTTTATTTACAAAATTTTAATCAAAATTTTTTGCTTATACAATTGTAATAAAAAAATAAGACAGATATTCGTTGTAAAACTTTTATATTTTTTCATTTTAAAGTTATCTCAGTTTTTGATTAAGTTTAAACTTTGAATTGCTCTCCGATTACTGTAATAGTAAAATCATTTATTCAGCAAAAATGCAAAGATGAAACTCACATTAAGTTTGATATATTTTGGGTTTAAGATTTGAACGAATTAATCATAAGTTAATTTAGCTCTATTTTCTGTAGACGATTTCATCTATTACTGACATAACACAGTATAGGAAGTGATTATTCGACTTTGCATACATTAAACTTGAATTGCGTGAATCACTTTCCTTATTAGTAGTTGCAAATAACTCTGTCTCTTATCATAATTAATGTCACATTCAATTTTCGAATATTCCCCTTCAATTCTCAATCAAAACAAGACTTAATGATATATAAATCGTTTATTCGTAATCTACTCTTTTCATCTCTTGAAATATATCGCATACTTCTGTCATTACTGTTAATATTATAAGCACCACAAAAGTGCTGGTACCTAACAATTTCTATTATTATTTGGTTTATGATAGCATTAATATACTGCGAGATTTGCAGCATGTGAACTCTGTTAATTCTAGAATTCGTGAGTTCTTATTACAACACCACTAGTACTTGACCTATTATTTAATTTTATTTGGGTTGATTGCAAAAGTAGTGCAGATCAAGTACTGCTAACCGGTTTAAGATCGTAATTTTGCAAGTTTCTGTCCTATTTTAGTTCATTTTGTTATTTTCACTTGTGGTGAACTAAGAGTTAAAGTAGAGATGTACATTTTTGGTCACGATTTGCCATGAATTTGTTTACTTTTTTGAACATAAAAGCGTATTGTAAGCATAAAATACACTTCACATTTTTGCTTTTTTTCGCTAAACAAATACTATTTTCTTGCACCGCAATTATATAATAGAACAAACACTCACGATTAAGTAAAAGGGTGAATCCCTTTTTGAGAATATATCTTGTAGACTTTTCAGAATCGGATTAATAAAGAGCGAAGTATTCATGAAAACCCTAATTATTGATGATTGGATTCCTTTTCAACAGTTTATAACTGCACAAAAGTTTATTGCAGTTAAGAAATGTTCGATGAAAAAATATGAAGACTATTTAGATGCTACACTGGTAAAAATTTAGTTTTTTGAATGAGAGAAAACTAACATTTAATTTTTTTGATGCTACATCTTACGATAATACTAGCAAAATTATTATCAAAGTGTACAGTGAAGTCAAAATATGGGATAAGTCATTATTTTATATTAATTTCTATAGCAATTTTTTAGCAAAACAATTCCTGATAACATGACAATAAAACAATGGTTTTCAGTGGCAGTGTCATATAGTGATGACAGTTTATGATAATTTAATAGTTAATTATGTTATAGGAAGGTCATTATGATACAGTTTTGCTTTATATACATATATATATACTATAAAATTGATCATAAAAGTGAAATTATTTGGTTCTGAATTGTTTTGTATTGTACAAAAAATCAAATTCTATACTCAGTTACTGCTAACACAGTGAATTATAAACAGTGAAATATAACAAGTTTCAATATCTCTTCGCAATATTTTATCACACTCGAAAATTAAATTTCATGAGTCCTGCAATAATAATATTATCCCTTTTATATCAGTGCCATTTAATTCTGATCAGATCATGTCAATGTGTTATTTTGATCTGATAAAGTCACTGTGATTAATCATGACGATTTATATATATACATTATGACCAAAACAATTATTACACAGTGGACTTACATCAGCAAGTAAAAGTTCATCATCAAAACTTTGTAACACACTAAGAACGCTACAAATTGTGTCTATTATATTTCCAATGTAATGAAAAATTATCGAATAAATACAAAAAAATTTTTTGATTTGACAGTAAGAACACATTTTTAACACTAATACAAACTTTAGTGTAAATTAGAGCAGTACATCTCACAAAATCTGAAAAATTCTCATGCAAGTATTCCCGGCATGTGTCACTTTCAATTCATTGAATAGTAAAAAATAAATCTAGCACTAACTGCGTTTCTTCAAATGGTAAGATCAAATTCTAATAGAGACAAAGTTGAGTTGTATAAAAATTAAGTTATCCATTCTTTGTGTTTAAAATATTTACTCGATTGTAACTATACAACTGCCTATTAACATACTGATTAACTATCGACAGTTTTTGAAATTATTCAACTTTAACACTGCACAGTTATTATTATTTTAGTGCGAAATTTGAACACACTGAGATTATGAAAGTAAGTTTATATTCCATACATTATTAATCGAAGAAATATGGAATGATAACAAGATAATTTCATCTTTTATAATATAATTTTAACAGTTCAATAGCTGTATCGTTATTTAAACTTATTCATTTTCAATTATACAAAGCATATAAGTCCCAGTAGTGGATTTGTACAAAATATCTTCTCAATCTCTTCAACTGTAGATGACGACAAGTTGAGTACCATCCTAATAATTTGTGAATGAATGGATATCAAACTTAATCTCAATGTGTTTAAAATTGAAATTTTATTTTAATTCATTGAGCTAAAGTATAGAAAAAACTTTTGAGAAATTATCTTAATGACATAAAATAAGCAAGTATTTAGCAGATGAAATTGGGTTCATTAAGTCTTCAAGTCTACTGGAATATATAAACTTTAATATTCTTTGGTTTGATTCATACAGGTCTTGAAAGTATTTTCCAGAATTGCCAAGAAATTTATATGGTTAATTCCATTGGTTTGCGAGATGATTCTACAGAAAGATCACAAGTCTCATGGGAAACGGTTCATCAAGTAAGAAGCAGCATTTGTAGAAGTAAAAAGTTCATTGAGTTAAGATTAAGTTTAGGAAAAATCATTGCAGAGCTGATAAACTGAAATACCTCTGCACTGTTCCCAATATAACCACAGTAGCACTTGGCGTTATTCAATTTTAGTTGATATAAGTTTAGTTTGTTGGATTTTTTATTTAAATTCACTTTAGAGATTTCAACTGAATTAGCAGCTAAATTAGAAATGACAAATGGCACGTTATTCATTAATTTAACCCTTTAAAAAGCTATATTTTTAAAAAACAAAATTATTTTTGAATCATTAAAATTTAAATGCTCGTTGTTGTCAAGCAGTGTTCTTCTACATTTTAAAAATTAGTTTGCAATTCAAAAACTAAGCTTAAATATAGGTTTTGTATATGAGGAGGATAGAAAATTTTTCAAACATATTTAATAGCGATCAATTAATTCACTGAAAATAATAAGAATTTGCTGCAGTCATCTGTTTGAACTTTGCTGAAGTTCGAAATGACGGAATTTTTTGAAAAAATAAGAAATAAAAATAATTAAATGCGATGAAAATGCAAAATAACACCTTACTAAACAACAATCATTAAAAATTAGTTTGTCGTCATTGTCACAAAGTGGCATCTTTCAGTGGAAGTGGTGAAGAGCAGAAAAGGTTCGAAGCGATAATTGCAAGAAGACATGGCATTTTGTCAGAAGTAGTAATCATTTGGAAGAAAAAACTAATTATGAAAAAGGTAGTAAAATGGATCACAAATTACCACAAATCAACCAATTTGCACCTTAATTACGAATTACTCACTCAAATGAATTACCATTGCCTCACTTAACCCTTTTTTGTACAGTTTGATAGTCATTCACAATGATGAAAGCTCTTTGATGTAATTGATCATGCAAATTTTCGATATTTGTAACTGATTTCAATTTTAACTTCATTCAAAAGGTAACTTTGGGCACTTTGCTTATTTCGATGAGCAGCACTTATGAAAGTCAATGAAATGCAAAAAGCTTGAATATTCAAAGGGGGGAATGTGTACGGACAAGAAAGTTTTCATGTCAAAAAGAGCGAATTTCGATTTTTTTCCTGGCTGAAAGATTAAATATGTGGAGTAATTCATAGGATAACTTTGTTTGTCAGTACACATTTGTGTACTTTTATTCCTCATTTTCATTCCTAAAAATTTATGCAGAATTGCTCGCGCTAATACATTGATGAGAGTGCAAAGTTGTTGGAAAACGAATGTTGCTCTTCAAAGACTGTCAAGCACAATCATTATGGATATGTGAGCAGCAAGAAGCTAAGCAGAAAAATGGAACTGACGACCACAGCTTCCGCAGCTCAGCACAAGGAGCTGTTGCAATCTAATTTGTATAAAATCAAGAAAATTTGTAATCATTTCAGTCCTTCACTGTATGCTAAAAGCAATCAAACGTGTGTTGGAGGTTAATTAACAAAGTATCTATTGCTTACTATCAAAACAAGCAGATAATTAGCAGTTGCATGTACTGAAATCTTTCACATTTCAACAAGAATTTTAAAAATAATTACAAAGCGACTGCTTTTTAAGTACTGTGAGAATAAGAAAACTGCATTAAACAATTAAACGTTATCTTATAGTAAGTACGCATCAAATTTTCAGCTCAGTAAATATTCAGAGCATAATTAAGAACTGATCACATATCATAACAGAACCGTTATGAAAACAAATAAAAAACAGTCTGTTCATAAAAAACTTATCAAACATTGAAAAATATTCTAAGCGCAATTAACGCTTCATAATAATGTTCTTTGGATGTATGAATGTCACTTACGTAGAAAAGTGTGCTTTTCTCTGGAATGATGAAAGGCAGATTGAGCAGAAAGCAACCTTGATATGATAACAAATAGTAGCATGTAACCGTTCATGACCTGCACCGAAATCGTTTAAGTTTTACGGAAGGTGAAATCCTCAACGAAACACAACGTTGACCATCTGTCTACTCTTGCCCCATTTAACGATATTCTCCGCACCCTCCCATTTCGCGCACTTACCGCATTCGCGCATTGAGTCGAGATTCCATTGCAACTTACTCACTCGTTTACTCCGTTGTTTGAACTTTGAAAAGTTAATTTGCAGAATCAGGATCAATCATCACCATGATCTCATCATCAAAATACCTCATATCTTCAACCTTTTATTTTCTAATATCTACATACATATTATCACTTACTTCTGACTTTTTTGTTGCTTATTTATCTGAGAGCATCCAGAAATTTTCGACTTTTTCTTCAAAATTATTTAGTATAAACGAAGAATACGAGTAAATTCAGTTTACAAATGCTTTTATCCTTTTTAAATTAGTCAGTCTTCCATTTGGATTTGTGCTGAACTAATAATAAAAAAAGTTTATTTCTAATAGAACTAAGAAGCATTTATTTGAGGCATCGAAAAATTAGAGAAGCTAGCTGCTATTTATTCTTCTGCAATATTGTTATTTTGGCTATTACAAAAAAGCATAACATGATAAATGATTGATAAGATTAGAATCAAATAATGGAAAATATTAACCGCTTGTGGATCAAGAAAGACTAGAATTTAGTATGATATACCAACTGCATGAAGCAAAGCATACAATATGGCTTTCCATTCGGTTGTAAAAAAGTAAGATCAAGAATAAAATTTCGAAAAGTCCTAGCAAACGAATAATAAATCATAAAGCAAAAATAAGATAAGTAATAAAACGAAAGTAAAGACTTTTAATTTTCAATTGCAAACTGAAAGTCTTTACTTTTAATTTTCAATTGCAATTTTTTAAAATAATAAATTAATAATTTAAGTAATCCAATTACTTTTTTGGCTAACAACAGAATATATAGAACGAAGAAATATCTTTTTAAAAACATGAAATAAGTGATAATTTATAATTGTGTTATGACCGGTATGGATTTGGTGACTAACAAGTTTCCCCGATTGTTCTTCAAATATCCTACTACTACAAGAAATTCTTAAAAATATACATGCACAGTATCACCATTTTTCTTCACATAAGATTATTCGTTTTTGTACACACCTCACATTAAAGCTGCCATTTGAAGGACACCGTGAAATTGCTATACATCCACCCTCCATTTGAAATTTATCATTATTTCTCCAAGAAATCTCGACCTGAGACTCGCCAACTCTCGAAGAATATTCAGGAAGTTTGGTCCTGCAAAGCAGCAATACCTGATTTTCTTGATCTTCTATTACTTCAAACAAGATGCGTGCATGAAAGAATCTCATCACTGGAATCCCATAATGAAATTATAACAACAGAACGATCTGCAACCCTCTTAAATAAATCTTTGGCTGAAATTGTGACCTTCTTTTCATTGACCTCTTTGCGGTCATGTCAAGTGATTAGTAGCGGGAGTAGTACCATACAAGGAAATATTACATTTCGATAGAGTTCATAATCAGAATTCTCATTCCGAGACATTATACTGGTAAGAGATATCACCGGATGAGTTATTGCGGCAATCTTTAAAAATTTCATGAGGTCATCAAAAAAAGTTGTTAACACGCTTGGAACTCTACGGTACTGAAAATGTATTTCATAAGTTATTATTATCGAAAACTCTTCTGATAATGCTTTTTGGAAAAATACTAGCATAGATTCTTTTCTGCACAGCTCTTTTTTGCTGGAAAATAACCAAAATTTGAACATGAACTTTGACCCGAAAACTTTCTTGACTGTAATGAAAAAGTAGGCCATAAATTTGAACGAAAGCAGCGTGAATAAAGACTTCATTACAAACTGTAATTGGAAATGACGTGAATAATGCAAGTTCATACTTGCGAAGCTGTATGAACTTGCATTATTCACGTCATTTCCAATTAGTAACTAGGCAGCTTCCGAGTTTTAAAACATACATTTGCTCGTTTTTAGAATAAATTTATGATTTAAAAAAGCAGGAAAGTGCAAGTTTGAAAGAAAAGTCACCAACTGCTTTTCATATTCGACCTAATTTTTGCATAAAAGAAAGAAATTAGGAGAAAAAATAATCCAAAAACGGTATGTAGAACTGTCTATTCGAAATAAATTTTTACGGTTCACATAAAATCAATCAATATAAATGGATTCTGATGCAAAATTTAATTAGCATAGCAAAATTCACATTTTTGCAATTGAATGATGAAAAAAGAAAGATTAAATTTTATTTTATTTTTTCAAATTAAGTGTCCTAGTTTTGTGATTCTAAAACTAAACAAGAAAGCGACAGGTTTCTTTGGGAAATCAAATTACAATAGAGAACATGTGAGGTTTTTTGCATGTAAAGATATTTTTCCAGTGAAAAATGAAGAATTTTTATTTCATTATTGAACAAATGATCAAGGATTATCACTGATTAATGCAATTTCGTACTCGACTTGCATACTTAAGTATAACTTAGACTTAGCATTTCAGGAAAGAATATTTATAATAATCTGAGTATGCATCTAAAATATAAATAACTTTATCTTATCTTTTCATATTTATTTCCACAGTTCGGAAAGCTGTAAGAAAAGCAACAATTAAAGACGTGAAACATGCAGTGCACGTAGAGCGGCACCATAAGCTGCACTACAAGTGTTAGTAAAGCCAGTTAAAATCTGAAGTCGCCCCTCACATTGTTGTGTAATTTCACGTACAAAGCAAGTTTTGTTTGCATTGCCTGCAAGTATGACCCGCTTGACATTCCATCTCTGCAGTTCTTGAGGTGGAAGTAAGCGAAATAAATTGCAAACAATTCCGCAAGCGATTCCTTGAAATACCTAAATACCATGAACAATCTAATTTACCTCATAAGTTTTTTTCATACAAGCTAATCAATAATTTTTCATGATCGTACTTCTATATTCGTAATACTCCACAACTGTGAAAATTTTCTTTTAATAAAGCAGTTTTCATACCGAAAAGATTTGTTAGAATCATTGAGTTCTACTAATAAGATGAATTTTTGACCAGAAAGCTGAAATTCTACTACTCCAACTTTGTCTTAGTAATAATATCAAGTACAAAATTATGAAGCAAAAAATTAAACTAAACAATTCATGCCTAAAAGTAACTCAAACCAATCTCATTTGACAAATACTTCATATTTTCATGTCAATATTTATTTCAATTTCATGCATATTTACAATTAATTTTGCTTGCACACATGATGCAAACTTGGATACTTTTTACAATTCTATTTCGCTGTCGCATAATCAGTTCTCTCTACAAGAGGCCAACAAAGAAAAACTTTCATATTAAACTTCAATTCCGCGCATGCTCATGCACAACAATTATGTATTTTTCAAGTAGATCATTATCAACGCTCACTCAAAATCACACATTTCTTCTATAGAATTTCTGTTACTGAACATTAATTTAATACTAGACTGTTACTGAATATAAATTTTATAAACTGAACATACTTCGTTCACAGTAGTACGTGGACTGATTCCGGAAATGCACGATGTTGCAGTACTTCCACGTTCAGGAAGAAATATCGGTTCAACTCTTACTACAGAGGATGTACATTTCTCTGGTTTGGTTAGTATATCATTTAATTTGTTATAATCCACTTTTAGACTTTTGTTATCTGAGACAAGTTCGGAGGCCCACTCAATCATTTTCTACAAATTATAAATTCTTTTATTCGTTTAAAATTAACTGTTAAAAAGATATCTACAAAAGTAGCCTACAACTCAATCAAGAGTTAATAATAAAGAGCGAGTGAAAAAGTTGTAGGCAACATGAACATGACATTTCCAGAACATAAATTAATTAACTGATGAATATATAAATCAACACTCAATGAATCTGAAACAAGATAATTAACTGAGTACACATGTAAATATTTATCTAATGAAGATTTGCGAAAAAGTTTCAACCTGTGCAATTATATCAATTGCATTACCGCCATTCATCGATGCAGCTACAATCAATCTTTTGTTGCCAAAAAATGGTTCTGTAAGAAGAGATGTCGAAGGTGCTTGATCAACTTCCGAAGCAAAGCATAACTGCGCCGATGTTCCCAAGTTTAGAACTTTGAAAAAGTTGAAAACTCAAAATTATTAGAACACATAAGTGACTATTGTAGCTATTGATCAAAATTACAGCAATAATTAAATTAATTTTAGCAAACTCTGCCAGTTTTTTTCCCACTAAGCAAGGCAATTTGAAAACAGCAATTCATTCAGAAGTGTAGAAGTTATATTCTCATGAAGCGAATTTGAACTGCTTCTTTCATGTGCTTTGAAAAGTTGGCAACATTTGAAATTTATTATCCGCAAACAAATAAGGAATTTCTCATACTCCTCCACAAGTAGATTGGAATTATGACAAAGGGAAAGACTGACATATGAGAAAATTTTTCAAGAGAGAACTTGTGTAAAATGAAACAATATAAATTGTAAACTTCGATACCAGCTGTTCCTGTTTCCAGCACTGGGTAGACAGTACTCTGAAGATCACCACAAGATGATAACAGTTGTGCTCCAACTGGAAGATCGAAATCTGATCGCTTCACCAAACCAACAACTTCATCTGTTTTACGTATTGTTGGAAGTAAATGTGGGGGTATCAGTTTTTCCTATAGTGCTAGTGTAAACATCGCAGAAAGTATTTATATAAATTTATAATTTGTTTTTTTGTGACACGACCATAAATTCTTAGTATTTTCTACTGTTACTTAATAACAGTTTTCATTTACACGAAGTGAAATTTTTGCTCCATACCAATTTTTCAAATGATATTGAAGACACGTTATTATTAATAGAACCAAATTAAAGTTTTCTAAGACATAATATTTAAAGTAGTTTCGATTTCAAACTTAAAAGCTGATCTGAAATTTAAAAACCTCCACGTTTATTGAATCTCGCACTTCTGTAAACTAATAATACATAAGGAAATTTGGATTGGTACTCATATAATGAGCAGCTTATTAATTTCAAAGTACTTTTGAAAAAATTTACTGAATAATTAGATCTAAAATCGTTTCAGATAAATGATTTACATTGAGTTGTGTTATCAGTAAAAAATTTGATTAAGAAAAAATTGTTGTGTATTAAGATTCTTAGTTAATTTGAGCTAGCAGAGATTTTTGTTGAGATTTTTGTTTAGATACAAACTTATTGAACTGTAAGCTTTAAAATTAAATAAACTTATTAGCTTATTTAATTGAGGCCTGGCTTTAAGATATTATTAAAAATCAGTTCAAATAAAACATGCGCTAATTATTTAATCTTAAAATTTTAAGTTGAACATTTTCAATAATTTAAAAAAAATAGTGAAACTTGACCGGCAAAGTCCAATATCCATCATAAGAGCAGTAACCCCAACTATACGCATTTTGAACACCGATAAATGCATCAGAAGACTGAGAAAGATAGCTTATTAGCATATCCATTACAGTACCACAACAAGTCCATTCTGTTTTTAAATTATCTGAAGAATGGAGCCATGCAAGGGTTACCATGCCAAAACCAACGTGCAATTCACCACAATTCCATCTGTGTACAACTAATATCAGCAAACCTAACTCAACTGTTCACATGTTATTATTTATGTGCATTTAATTGGTAAAATAAATAGAAGCATGCAATAAGCTTGTGGTAGATAGCTTCAATATAAAAAGATAAATCACACAACTAATTGGGACATGCAAAAAATAGTTAAAATGCACCACAAATCACATTAAAATTTATAAATATCGACGTGAATGAAAAAAATTTTACAATAAATATTGAAAGATCATGGAAAATTATAATATATAATTAATAATTGAAAGATGTCAAACCTGGGTAGGGAGTTAACAAATTCTTTAGGTACCCTCTCATCCATCCATGTTATCAGTGGTGAACAGATAAACTTACCTGTACAAACTTTCAACTGACTTTTAATGCTATTGAAAACAACAATAGAATAAAGTAATAATTTAGCACTTTCTAAATTCATATTCACGTTTCATTAGAACAAATGAGATAATGAGAAAACAAAAATAGTTTTACTTTAGCACAAATTAAAGTTATTGAGCTGGTTGAAGTAACTCAAATGAATATTAAGCTCATATTAATCCCGGAAAGAGACTACCATTCGAACAATATCTAAATATCGCAATATGTTTGCACAAAACTTTATTCAAAAGTTTCTAAAGATGATTCAACCTGCTGTTAGATTTTGTCCATTCCAAAAAACAATGCCATGCATCTGTCCTACTATGCTAACTATTATATTTGACGAATATTTCAGCTTCATCGATTTAAGCAGCGCAAGTAAAACGTGAAATATCTTCAACGGATCTTGTTCACGGTAAATATGTGATTCTCGTTTGATCCATGCATCATGAACTGCTGACTTTTCAGAGATTACCCTAAACTGAAATCTTTCATTCTGTGGCAATTCAAGATTGATTCTTAAGACGAAGTTCATCCTATACTGCTAGTCAAAGATAAATACACAAAATTTTCAGGCAAGCTACAGAAAAAAACTAATCATCATTATCTTTGTTTTGTTCAGAATTTTGGAAATGTTACAGTCCAATATGCTCAATTTCCAAAATAATTTTATAAATTAATTTGATGACTCTTCGAACGTTTTAATTTATTAAAAATATACTTAATGGAAATGCTAGACATTGTAAATGCAAACTGGAACTTTAAAAATCCCATTCTTCCTTATTTCTTTAGTTTATTAGATCATTTAACATTCGAGCTTAATTTTGTTCGCTTCTTTTTCTAACTTAAATCATACTGATGGCTAACCTGGCATCACTACCTAATGCACAACACTTAATACTTGTCGTTCCAATGTCAATCCCAATTGAGTATACTTCATTAGACTCATCCATTTCAAGTCTGAAAATAAATACTATCAATGGTATTCTTATAGCAACCTTTAGCACTAGTTGATGCTTTTTGTCAATTACCACTCATCAATCTTACGTAACACAATCTTACGTAATAAACAGGCCAAATTAGTTTTGCAGTAATTTAAGGCATCCAAATATCTAGCAACACTTAACCAATCTTGTTGACCTGCGACTTAGTCACACTGAAATAAATCCTACGCAATTACAACCATAAAACACAAATAATGATGGAATACAATGATTTTTGATTATCCACTAATTACGTTTCGTTTCAAAGCTTCTATTGCAATTCACTCCAGTGGAATGAATGCAACTTATTACCAACATTCAAGACCTCAATCCACTCCTACTTGTCCATTTTTTCAATGCTACCAAATAGTAGTGTCTTTTATTAAATCATTCTACTGATGTCACATAATCAGCATCTACAGTTTTCTGAATGGTACGATACGCGAAATGAAGATATGGTAGATCCCAATTTATTTGTTCCTTTCTTTCCCATATCCTCAGTAAAATGCAACTACTACATACGCAATTACAATGTTTAATTGGCGAAAAAGTGGAAACGCAACAACAAGGAAATGATTAAGAGATCTTACAATATGGAAAATTCAGTATTTCAGAAACATATGAGAATAATTGATGGAAAGACTCCGAGTTTTCGCACAAACTGATCTTCTGGATATCACATTTATTTTTAAAAAGTCTCAAAAATTACTTGCTGAAAATTGCACAATCTTTTTAAAATTTACGTAACACTATGGAAGAAATTTATTGCAAGGAACAATAAGCAAAAATGAATGCACAAAAATGCTTGTATATACTGTGTAATTACAAAAATCAACTATAACCTAATGATAATCACATTTTTGAGTTAAGTATAAACATATATCATTTGATGTCAAGTTTTAAGGAATGAATAACAAAACTTTGAGTGAAAGTTTACGAAAACAAGTGACAAAACATAAAAAGAGGCAAGAGTAGGACAATACCGGATCCACACAGTAATAAATACTAAGCGAATAAGTTAACATTTTTAAAAATGAAAATTATATTACAGGATATTTTAAAGTATACTATAAATGAGCAGAAAGGTTGGCAAACGTTTGCTTATTGAGAGGGGTAAGAAACGTATACATGGCAACAACGCATGAAAATAATACATATGAAAGTCAAAAATTTAAAACTTTTCAATTGACAAATTTTGAGAAAAATAATGATTAAACAAAGAAGTCAACCAGTTCAACGGTAGATGTGACCAGAATATATAAATTAATAGCAAAGATGGAGAGAGACGAGTCTGATTCCCCACATCGATAACATGTATTGCAATCTATTTAGAGAACAATAATGACCATCGGGAACAAAAAAATTAATAAGCCCTCAAGTAGACATAGAAATGGAAAAATTTTGTACGAGATTATGGAATGTACGTACTCTGAAAATGCAGGCATATGATACAGAAAACTGACTGATGTCGAAGTATTTTCGACAACGTTCTGTAGACAAAAAGGTGCATACAAGTCCAAGTAAAAAATACACTTCAAAGTATGGCTATGCTCTTTTTAAGGGAATTTCACAAATATTGCAATATAAAGCTATATTATCCTACTTCATCAAATAAACATTGCTATTTGATGATGAAGCTAACTAATCAAAACTTCATTTTCAAAATAGCACGAATCACTGTGTACATGGACTGCAAATCCCGAAAGTTAACTGGAAATTCAATTTCTTTCGACAACAATACCACAATATCTTACGATATATTATACAAGCCCTAGGAGAATAAAACGACAATGCATAAAATTTATCACACAATGATAAAAACTCTGAACAAACAATCGTGAAATTAGGCTGCAAAACTCATGAAATCTATTTTAGAAAACTTTAATTCATACAATTTTGATGCTATCTTTTTTTCCCCCTTTCTTCACCCATCTTTTCATTGAGAGATTTCGTTAGAGAAAATTTCATCGATATATCGCTATCGCTATTGTTTTTTATACTTGGCTTCCGTAAAGTATCAGAACTTCTAGAAACCAAAATTTTACTTGGATGTACGATTTTTTTGAAAACGTCATCTGGACCCATATTTCTTACCGCCAAACGGTATGCTGCTGCCATTAAAGTATCGTTTACCAGTTCCAAATTCAGTTTGCTTGCTACACCTCAAAAATAAAAGCACTCCAAATTGTAATAAAAAACCGAAGCAATAAATATTTTAAATGCAACAAATTAAATAATTACCAGAAACTTTGAATAGCATGGATAGCAGATACGAAAAAATGAAATTAAGTTTGATATTGTTTTCGTAAGGAGATGTTTCTGCTAATAACAACCAATTGAACATTTGTCTACTTTTAAAAACTCTATAAAGCTCATTTTGAAGCGAATTGTAACTCAGTGCAGTTCTAACTATTCATTAAAACTATTGAACTTAAGTGTCTTTAACATATTACAAGAAACGTATAAAACCTCAAACTTCCTTAGCCAAATTAACAATTTGAAATGGAAAATATTTCACTTTAAGCTTTTATAAATTTGAAATTTATGAAATTAAACTCACCAAAAGGACGAAGATGATATATGAGATATTCCAAAACATACATTAAAGCTGAACTCACATAGTGAAATGAGATTGCATAGTCACTGCAGCAGGATGGACCCTGAATAACAGATAAAGATTGCTTTAGATAATACTTTTATACTTAATTTAAAGTGCTATGATTCATAAAAGCTCCATTTAAAGACGCTTCTCAAATTTTAGTTGCATTTACATTAATCAAATAAATTAAAATTAAACATAGATACTGTCTGAAATATATGACATCCAATTAATTTATACACACACGCTGAACACTCCGTATTTAAAATTTCCAAAAAAAATGAAGAGACGAATATAAAGAACAAATAATATATAATTCATGTATTATCCTTCGAAATAATAACTCACATATTATTCATTTTTAGCAAAAACAAAACTAACAATCAAGGAAATAAACTTGCCTGTTCAAATGGATAATATGTGTATCGCCAAAACCAGAAATTCTGGTCGACATGTCCTGGGGTTAAGTGATGCTCGGGTATAAAAGGCATAAACCTGAAATAAGAAGATCAAATCACATAATATTTATTTCGCAATTATTCAATTTAAAATAGTTTTTAGGTGTTGATGAAAAACAAATGAAAGACTTTTTACAAATTTTCTCGATATCTACTTTACAACCTGTGATGTCCTTCGGCATCTCTCGAATCTCCAGCTTTCACTCCAACTCTTTCTAAACATTTCCCAATTTCAGCATCCTCTGCGCCGTTTTCTTCTTTTTTACACTTCTTCGGATCCTTAATAATAAGAAATTCAAACGAAGAAGTTAGATATAATTCTTTTACCAATCATTCAAAATACAAAAATGCGGACATGAGACCT